TTGCTGAGAATGACAGTTTCCAGCTGCATCCGTGTCCCTACAAAGGACATGAACTCATCCTTTTTTATGGCTGCATAGTATTCCATGGTGTATATGTGCCACATTTTCTTAATCCAGTCTGTCACTGATGGACATTTGGGTTGATTCCAAGTCTTTGCTATTGTGAATAATGCACAGGAAAGCAAAAAAATAACCCAAATAGCCAAGGCAATCCTAAGCAAAAAGAACAAAGCTGGGGACATCACACTACTCAACTTTAAACTATACTACAGGTCTACAGTAACCAAAGCAGCATGATACTGGTACAAAAACAGTCACATAGGCCAACGGAACAGAAGAGAGAACTCAGAACTACGACTACACACTTACAACTATCTGATCTTTATAAACCTGACAAAAACAAGCAATGGAGAAAGGATTCCCTATTCAATAAGTGGTGCTGGGATAACTGCCTAGCCATATGCAGAAGATTAAAACTGGACCCCTTCCTTACTGTATATACAAAAATTAACTCAGGATAGATTAAAGACTTAAATGTAAAACCTAAAACCATAAAAGCCCTGTATGACAACCTAGGCAATACCATTCAGGACACAGACACAGACAAAGATTTCATGATGAAGATGCCAAAAACAATTACAACAAAACCAAAAATTAACAAATGGGATCTAATTAAACCGAAAAGCTTCTGCACAGCAAAAGAAATTATCAACAGAGTAAAAAGACAACCCACAGAATGGGAGACAAGTTTTGCAAACTATGCATCCAACAAAGGTATAATATCAAGCATCTATAAGGAACTTAAACACATTTGCAAGAAAAAGACAAACAATCCCACAAAAAGTGGGCAAAGAACATGAACAGACACTTTTCAAAGGAAGACATGCATGCAGACAACAATCATATGAAAAAAAAGCCCAACATCACTGATCATTAGAGAAATGCAAATCAAAACCACAATGGGGTACCATCTCCCACCAGTCAGAATGGCTAGTGTTAAAAAGTCACAAATTAACAGATGCTGGTGAGCTTCTTGGGAAAAAGGAGTGCTTCTACACTGTCAGTGGGAGTGGAAATTAGTTCAATAATTGTGAAAGACAGTGTGGAATTCTTCAAAGACAAAAAGACAGAAATACTATTCCACCCAGCAATCCCATTACTAGGTATATATCCAAGGGAATATAAATAATTCCATTATAAAGTTAAATGTATGCATGTGCTCACTGAAACACTATTCACAGTATCAAAGACATGGAATCAACCTAAATGCCCATCAATGATAGACTGGATAAAGAAAATGTGGTAAGTATACACCATGGAATACTATGCAGCCACCAAAAAGAATGAGACTATGTCCTTTGCAGGGACATGAATGGAAGCTGGAGGCCATTATCCTTAGCAAAGTAACACAGGAACAGAAAACTAAATATCAGCATGTTCTCACTTGTAAGTAGGAGCTAAATGATGAGAACACATGGACACAGAGAGGGGAACAACACACAATGGGGCCTATTGGAGGGTGGAGGGTGGGAGGAGAAAGAGGATCAGGAAAAATAACTAATAGGTACTAGGCTTAATACTTAGGTGATAAAATAATCCATACAACAAACCCCTCACGACACAGGTTTACCTATGTAACAAAACTGCACATGTACCCCCGAACTTAAAATAAAAGTTAAAAAAATTAAGATGGCTTTTCTCAATGCACTATTCAATAATCTCTACCACGACTTTCCGAAAACCTATTTAGCAGGACACATTGTATACACTATCGGATGCCCAACCAAAATATATCTTCCATTTCTTTTGTACTAAGACTGTGCTGATTTTGTCCAGGTATATATGAGGAATGTGCTCGGGGTAAGTGAGTACCACTCTATCCTGAGGGTAAGAATTATACTTAGTATAATTCACTCATGGTTAATTCATGACCTGATGTTAGTTATTGGTTTAGTGTGGGCATGTCCTGAGAAATGAGGCATGAAAGGAAGTTTGCTCAGAAGAAATGTGTCTCTGTGTGTGTTTTCCTTCTTAAATAAAATGAAATAAAATTAACAAGATGCTCTAGAAGTATTGAATTTACTGCCTTTGGTCAAAAGCTATAAGGGCAAGATGACTGGAGTTATTGTAAATATTCTATGATGACAAAATCCAAAGGAATTAGAGAAGCCCTTTTAGAAGTACTGCATGTTTGAACTGCTGAAGTAATCAATCCTGGACATACTTGCCATATTCCAGCCAAATTTAATTGAATATTCTGTTTTTTTAGAGTAGAAGACACCTAATGGACACTCCTATCATAGATATCTTAATGAAAATGTTATCCTACAGGCATGTTTATATGTCACTAGGTATTTATAAGTGATTAAATGCTTTTTTTGAAAACAACTTCAAATCACATATTTATATGTGAGCACATCTGTTATGTTATATAGATCTAACATTTGTTATTTTTGCCTACTTGAGCCTATTTCCTTTTTTTCTATAATATATCACCTCATTTTTTTTCCAAGTCACTCTGTTCTTCTTCACAGACCATGTGGATCCTGTGTAGTTGACTCTGCCCTCCCATTCGTAAGTTGGGTACATAATCCAGGACCACATACATAGATTCGTTCAGTGATATACAGATAAACCAAGCCATAACGTCAGGCTCAATGTGGGTATTTTCACTTGTGGGGTTCTTTGTATGGCAGTATTTAACCTAGAGCAAGTTGGCAGCCATCTTGCCACCACGAAGGGTCACAGTTTATAGGAGAATTTGCACTGAGAAAAGCATAGCTGCAGGAAGGAAAGAACATTCCTGATGACATTATTTGCCCTCTTGGATCCAGCACTGTCTAAAGAAGCAATAGTCCCAACCTCTTCAGTAATGTTAGTTAATAAATCCACTCCACATTGAATTTCTTCCATATACAATAAAAAAAAGTCCCACTTGACACTCCTGCCTGAAAGTCCTGCTCAGGACCTATTTCGAGAAGACTTCTTTCCTTATAATTCACTATATAAATCATATGGAACATATAGAACTGTTACAGTGGCATCATCATACTTAGATTATGATGCCTAATTAATTAAAAAAATAATTATTTTAATTAAAGTTTCCTAAGTAATTAAAAAAATTCCATAGGTCTTATATTGAAATTATTAATGATAATCCTAGATTAGATACATTTTTCAGCATACATTATTTATTAATTTCTTTTATGATGGAGTTTTTGAGTAGGTAGACTGATGCCTATCAATAATACACATTGTTCTTTGAAAATGATTTATTATTCTCTGTATTCACTGAATGTTAATCCTGTCTTTATTCATTTAAGTTTTTTTCCTGGATTGCTGTATTTTTCTTTTTAGACTTTTTCCACAGCTCTTCATATCTGAAGATAACACCTCTTCCATGTTTTTAATGTTTATCTATTGCCTTTAGCACTGTATAATGGATGATTAATTTAGTTCATGTTTTTTTGTTTTTTTTTTTTGAGACGGGGTCTCGCTCTGTCACCCAGGCTGGAGTGCAGTGGCGCCATCTCGGCTCACTGCAAGCTCCGCCTCCTGGGTTCACGCCTTTCTCCTGCCTCAGCTTCCTGAGTAGCTGGGACTACAGGCACCCGCCACCATGCCCGGCTAATTTTTTTTTGTATTTTTAAAAGAGATGTGTTTTCACCATATTAGCCAGGATGGTCTCGATCTCCTGACCTTCTAATCTGCCCTCCTCAGCCTCCCAAAGTGCTGGGATTAGGCATGAGCCACCACGCCCGTCCTCAGTTTAGTCTGTCTTTTAATGCACTAGTTTAAGCTGCTATGTAAGTCATTGAGTTTTGCATGCTAGTTATCAATTTTTATATTTTAAAAGTTTATTTTAATTACTTTAAAAATAACAGCTAGGACAGCTATCAGAATATATATTCAGTTGCCTCACTGGATTCATATATCATAAACATTTTTAGTTCCTTAGGTGTCCTTCAATTTTTGCCAGCTGTTCCGTGCATTTTAAGAATTATGTTTTTGTATATTTCATCCATCAATTTTAAGTATCCTATACACCTTAAAGAATAGGGGTATCTTAACCACCACTTTGCTCCACCTCTGTTTCTTTCCAATATAACTATTATTCACAGAGTTACCGTGTAACCTTCAACATTACTGATTCACTGAGGTTTTTCAGAGGGTGCATATTTTATTGGTAACAAGGTATGAAAACAGCATTTTTTAAAAACTCATCTGTGATTCTATTTTTCACTTTACCTACTTTCAATTTAGTTACCTTACTGCTTTCATGTTCCTTTTTGAACGATTATAAAATTTTAAATGAAAAATATAATAAAAATAAATCTATAAAACAAAACAAAATACCTGTTTTTCTCTTCTTTTTTGTTTGCAATTTACAGCATATTTTATATACCTTATGTTATTTTTGGTCTTTCCAAAATCAAGGTAGTATACATATTCTTTTTTGGCCAAAAAAGTGACCCCCAAAGTGGCGATCCCTGAACTTAATCCTGGTCTAGTGCTCTTCTATTTGCACCAGACAAATTGGAATATTCTGAATGTTTTAGAAAGGTCAAACTAAAGGAATTAAACTCTACCTTGAAAACCCTTTAAAGTAATTCTATCAAGGAATTCTCTAAATGAAAGTAAATATGTTGAAATTGATGAAAAGTATGCTTTCCTACACATTTAATTCTGAATTCTGAAGTATTTTTATTGTAATTGTAATAAAATTTGTTGATGGCAAATAATTTCTTATTTATCACACAAATTAACAGCATATCACTTGGTGAACATTCTACACAGAAGCAATTTGGATAGAATTAATTCATTTACATTTAGTAGCCTAGAAGATTTGTTTTACCTGTTTAAATGTGAGACATTGCCAAAATTACAGCAGACAACTACAGAGAAGAATAAACTATAACCTTAATATGGGAATCTTATTTTCATTTTCAAACAAAGTAACAGATAATGTTCTCACACTATTTAAAATGGATATTACTTACAGCTGCATCTGCAAAGGTCTCTTCATAAAACACTAGCATCAGAGCAAACTGTACAACTGTGTATATCTTTAATAGCTGAGATGCGGATGATGAGAAGGGAACATCTTTCCCAGTAACCTAGGTAGACAAGAAAGAACCATTTCCTTTATATTGCTCCAGACTTATTTCTCTAACTGAAATCCACACTAAGAGAGATATTTGAAAAAATGTACTTGCTATTTTTTTTTAAAGGCTAACATAATTTTTTAAAATAGAAACTTGTCTGTAAGTTAGGATACTTTTTTTCCCATTTTGAAAGCATGACAATTATGATGTAGTCTGCCTTAAAGAGCAGCATAAAAACTAATTCAGCAAAATGTGCAAATAATAAAGATAGTCAAAATGAATGGGATGGATCTTCCCTATTTGATAATATGTCCATGATCACATATGACGGCAAAAGCAAAGTAAAAGAAAAAACAGAAGGTGGCCGGACGCGGTGGCTCACACCTGTAATCCCAGCACTTTCCGAGGCCAAGGTGGGCGGATCACTTGAGGTCAAGAGTTCATGATCAGCCTGGCCAACATGGTGAAACCCCATCTCTAGCAATAACACAAAAATTAGCTGGGCGTGGTGGCATGCACCTGTAATCCCAGCTACTCGGGAGGCTGAGGCAGAAGAACTGCTTGAACCCAGTAGGCAGAGGTTGCAGTGAGCCAGGACTGCATGACTGCACTCCAACCTGGAGATGGGGGACAGTCCCAAAAAAAAAAAAAAAAAAAAAAAAAAAACACACACAGGGAGAGAAGGTAATCTTGGCAGTGTAGGTAATCATACTTCAAAGAAAATAGTATTTTATTGGAAACAACTTTGTAAAGTTATTTATTGGAAACTTTAGAAAAGTTATTTCCAATAAACTACATTTTTACTCTAGCATTTGAGTTTCCCCAAAATGCTACACATCTATTTTTTTTAATGCAGACTCCAGGACTCATATAACTTTAAAAACAGTATTCACTTTGAGTTATCTACCGACAAAAAGAAAAACAATAAATGGATCATAGCAAACAGGTTTTTGGAGTTTAAATATAAAAATTATTTCACCTATATCAAGTTGGTGGATGTTACACTACTAATTATGAACATAAACAAAAGTGTCTGGGAAACTTATTCCAGGCGGCTTTGGTAACTGAATGAGAAAATGTCATTACTTAGATTAGGATTTTTTCAAAATAGTAATATTTAAATAAAACCTCTTATTTTGTTTTATTTCCTTGAAACATCACAGGCTAATTTTATACACATAGTATCATCCTTGAAATTAAGAGTAGTTTAGTCTTCCTATTGTTTCTGCATTACTATACATAACATTTATTTGATAAGAAATCACAACTTATATTCTAAACGATTAAAAAGAAACTTCTCTTTCTTTTTCAGAAGAGTAATTCTGGGTGAAAACTGAGTTTTTCATTTGGGTTCCTCTATTTTAAAGATCTATCTTTTTTTGTTTTTGGTTTTCAATGTGGTTTCTGCATTTAATTCTTCTACTCTACTATAAAATGAATATAGCTATGGTTTGACCCAAAATCCATACTGTCTTGATGTGACTTTAGATACATCTGTTCTGGGGGCCTCATTTCTTTGTGAGTGGAGTTAAGATTAGACTGACTCATTCCTAAGGTTGCCTCCATCTCTAGTGTTCTAGGACTCTGTGTCTGAGCCGCTTGTATTTGTGAAGTTATGCTCTACACAAAGGCAGGCATTCAAGTGGATATGAAAACCAGCCTCTGTAGCTCTGCTCCACAATCTGGGCTCCCAGGCAAAAGGCAGTGTTCACCTGGGAGAAGGTACTCCTTTAATTGGCACATAGTTGGTGGACACTCACTAAGTTATGCACCACAGGACTGCATCTGACCGGGGGAACATCTTTTTACAGATTTGCATGAAAATAGCATATGTACAGGCTGGCTGTAGACCTGACAATATGAGACTAATCTTCACCATCTCCAATTCTGTGAACTCTATTTACCTCTGGAATTTCTTCACTTAGACCAAGTCTTGGTTTACCTGGACCCCATCCTGGTCCTTTAAATATGACAGACAACTTATTAAAGAATCCAGGTGTGGCCCAGAATGTAGTCCATATGTAAAATAAGTGATGGAACTAGAAAGAATAAAAAAGAGCTTATTTCAAATAAGATAAATAGGACAGAAAGAATAAATACCAAAGATTATGTATATTTTTTATTGTTCAAGGTAATTTACATATATTAAAACATACGTTATGCATGATTAGAGCAACAGAAATTAATGTGTAATTGCATTCTGTGCTGTAATCTATTCTATGTACTGTGTACCATTAAGTGTGTTTCTGTCAATATTTCTGAAGTTCAATAAAATTGTAATTTTGAAATGTAAAATCAGGGCAATTGTTTAGACAATCAGCAAAGTAGAAAAAAATGAGTTAAAAGGCTTTGCTTCCAATAGAATTAACTAGCACCCTGTGCACTCAACATCCCTCCCTAAGGACACCTTTTCTTTCTTTCTTTTTCTTCAAGACAGAGTCTCACTCTGTTGCCCAGGCTGGAGTGCAGTGGAGCAACTTTGACGCACTGCAACCTCTGCCTCCCGGGTTCAAGTGATTCTCCTGCCTCAGCCTCCTGAGTAGCTGGGAGTACAGGCGCATGCCACCATTCCAGGCTAATTTTTGTATTTTTAATGGTGACGGAGTCTCACTACGTTGGCCAGACTGGTTTTGAACTTCTGACCTCATGATCCACCAGCCTCGGCCTCTCAAAGTGTTGGGATTACAGGCCTGAGCCACCACGCATGGCCAATGACACCTTTTCTAAGTGTTGCTTAATGGATACAAAAGTTGAACATGGAAACATATAAAGATTGAATATCTGTTTAAAATTTTAAAATATAAATCTTTACTATATTGTGTTACAGACAACACATATTCATAAAAATACTCTAAGTAGTTTGTGATACTAGACTTCTGAGTATTAAATAGTCCGTATTCTGTAATTAGAGATCGAAAAGTTTGCTAATTGAGGCAAAAATTCCCTTTAAGTAGCATAACAGGAATCCCACATTCTTTAAATATCGTGCATTTGACATGGATAGAAGTTAAAAGTGGCCAGGCACTGTGGCTCACGCCTGTAATCCCAGCACTTTGGGAGGCTGAGGCGGGCGGATCACAAGGTCAGGAGATCAAGACCATCCTGGCAAACACGGTGAAACCCCATCTCTACTAAAAACACACAAAAAAATTAGCCGGGCGTGGTGGCGGGCACCTGTAGTCCCAGCTACTCAGGAGACTGAGGCAGGAGAATGGTGGTGTGAACCCAGGAGGCGGCAGAGCTTGTAGTGAGCAGGGATCGCACCACTGCACTCCAGCCTGGGTGACAGAGTGAGACTCCGTCAAAAAAAAAAAAAAAAAAGAAGTTAAAAGTGTGCCCACATGTGATAGGTGTTCAATAAATGTTTGCTATTTATGACATATATATGATCATAATGCACCAAGAGACTAAAAAGACTCCTAGAGGTTGAGCATCAGCTATAGACTCTAGAGACGAGTTCTATGATAATTATAGAAATAAATTAATGGAGAAAGAAGTTTTGGCTTTATCAGAATTTGTGATTTTGCTAGTATTTTCATTGTGTTTTGAATGAGTTGAACCATTAAGATTACAAAAAATAACTTAAGAATTTATTAAAATATCATAATAAGGAATCTGAAGCAATTAAGAAATAATTTAGAACAACCATTTATGCCTAATGTTCCATTATTGGAACGCTAAGCATGTGGGAGTTATTTATATCCTACTACTCAAGGTCATCGCCAAGGTCTAATTGGAAAAATTCAAAAAATTGCAAGCTCAGACATAAATGGTTAATGGAATAGATCTGAGGAATAGGTAAATGATAGGCGGAAACTTCACCTGGGGCTTTGCAATAATAATGATACAGAAAACTAATGTGCTTATAAGTTATAATGTACATTAATATACTTATCTGTTTTTTAATTTTGAAAACTGACTACAGTTTTTTTCTATCATTCTGGACACAAGCCATGAAAAATACATGGTAATGTTTTAAATGAAAATAGTTTTTCACTTATTTATTTCCCAGTGCTCTGAAAATGTGCGATACCAAAGGAGGGCAAGGTGAATTATTTATGCCTAATAATAAGGAAAACAAACAAACAAACAAAACCCTATGTCTGTTGGAAGTCATCCTAAGTTGCCTTGATGCCTCTGCAGAATAGGTGAGAAATTTACCTGTATATAAAGGAATGGAGGTGAAAATAAGTGAATGTTTTTGTAAGTTCAAGTATTCCTAATTATCACAACTTGCCGGCTTGACATTTCTGACAATATAAGTGAACATGTAAAACACTAAACCTTAGACCCACTTGTGACAATTACAATGCTGAAGGAAATGTGAGGGGAAAGACCTGGAGAATTGAACCTAACACGGTTTCAGCAGCTGTCCATAAATACCTGTGATTTTCTGACCACCGTTCCTTTCAAAATACTAATCATCCCACTATTTGTGCAGCTCTTATTGTATTTAATATTCACTTTCTCATTCTGTCTCAGTTATAAACCCCCTTTTTCTCAGCAAGACTGTACACTCCCAAAGCCTTGCCTCTGAAAGAAATCACCCACCAACCAGCAGCACTGGCATCATATAGGTGCTTGTTTAGAAACACAGGATCTTGGAACAGACCACAAAACTACTGAACAGAATCTGCATTTTAGTAGGATCCTCTGATTCACATGCACATTAAGTTTATAAAATTCTGCCCTAGAGGATAGAGATGAAGTTATCTATCTCTTTTTTAATGACTGCAATAAGGAGACCACTCCTATATGAAGAAAAGGTAGCTTTCAATGTACTCTTTCTCAATTGGTTTTATTTACACAAAGCTTATTATTAAGAAAGGATCCAAAATATTTGCTTATATTCTCCTGAGAGATGGATCATATTCTTAGTAAATCTAATCAAGATAGAGACACAGAGAGAAATGCCACGTAGTTGAGAAGAAAGAAGAGAGATAATTACCTTTCTTCTTTTGGTATACAAGGAGATAAAAATACCTTTCACTGAACAACTGAAGGCAATCTGTTACGGCCTTTTATGTAAAGAGGCAGCACAGTGTATAGGTTAAATTGAATTCAGCCAGTCTTGGGCTTAGCTTTCAACCCACCTTGGTTAAGCTTACAGCTAACAAGTTTTGTAATTTTGGGTGAATTATTTAAATTCTGAGAACCTTGGTTTCCTCCACCAGAAAATGGGAATGAAAAGAGCCACTGCTTTATAAAGTTTTAGTAATAGCTACATTAAACATTTTTCTGCTGCGCTGTTAGCAGTGCACATGGTAGAAGCCCAACAGACGTCAACAATTTTGTTATTTCAACTTTCACTGAAACTCAAAGTAGTCTGGAAAAGCTGACCCAACGTGAGCCAGTAATTTCCTCACTTACCGAATGTTGTAACCAGTCCCCTGAACAGAGCTGTCATTGACCAACCTCTTCAGCTTTTCAAGTATTCTTATCTTTTTCTCATTTACGAGTGCCTAACCCCAGGAGTATTTGTGGTGGTCTGACTCTGACAGATTGGAGCTTCACAGACATTCCTGATTTCTCTAGTGCCAACCATTGAGACCAATGAACAACCAGTACCACATGTCTAACAGAAAACTGGTCCAGTCCGACAAGTCTTAGCAAGTGAGGTAATGCACAGACTTAACCAATCTGTAATAGTTCCTGACACTTGGGTCCAAGAAGAGTAACGCAAAGCCCTCATGTTGAATTTCTAACCAGAGTCATGCACCCTGGAAACAAATATTTTTCTTACTGTGGGTTCAGCCTTAATTATACATGTTGCTATTGCTCCTACTGAATACATGAATATATTTCAGGTCCATTCTGAGAAAGGATATGTTTAGAAGCCATTTTCTTTGTCATTCTAGGCAGTAGACATATTTGAAAATTAGTTATTTTAAAATATATTTTTCCTGATTTGATTCAAACTTTTGTTTGTGTGATACAGTTATATCTAAATTTTTTATAGTTAAAAACTTTTTTTCAGGTTAGTATAATATACTATCACTTTTCAACAGCTGATTTTTCTCTTAACTGTAAGATTTATGAAATGATATAAATGCAGAAAAAATAAAAAACAAGTATGTTACCTGCACTCTGATTGGTTCAAATGTATTAATGGGATGTGTTAAGCCATATACAACTTTTTCATTTTCTGCTTCAAATGTCCCTGGAAGATAAATATTCAGGATATGAGATTTGGCTTCCTGTAATTGAGGGAGATGATTTACTTTTTTGATTTTAATATGTTTTACTTACCAAAAATTCTATCCCAAATAATAAGAACACCAGCAAAATTTTTGTCTATGCAATAACGATTTCTGCCTATGAGACAAAATATTAGAAAATATTTTTTTCAGAAAAATAGTTATGCTTTTTGAGATACCTTCATCTTGTTTTTAGAACATATTCATAAAATTCAGATTTAAGCAAGAGTATAATTTCCCTGGAAATGTCTTCTCATTTACAACATCAGATTTTATTCTCTAATAAAGGAATTTTTATTTTTATTTTTCAATTAATTATACTAAAAAGGGGAAGTGTTTTCTTAAAGCTGTATGTATGTTTTCTTGTCACCATTTTTCAGTATAAAATGGAATAAATGTAAATAATTTTTTCAGGACCATTAAATAAAAATTAAGAATGAAATGATATCAAAAATTACAAATAAGAAATAAAATAAGGAAACAATGTATGTAAATGTGTTTTTATTTTAAATTTTTGATAAGATGTTTCGCTATCCCTTTTCTCTGCATCTGTTTCAGGAAGGAAATTTTCTACTTAGAGTGAGACTTGACTAGTTTTTTTAAGATCATAAAAACCATAGTAAAAAATAAACTACCCTTAATTTTTTCAAAACTCATATCATATATATTTTCCTACTGCCAAATAATCAAATTATAATGTAAATAACTGGTTATTATTTATTTAATACATTTTTTATAAAACTTAAGTAGACATGATGATATCCATATGACTGTAAATCTAAAGAAAAATAATAATTAATTAACCAAACCACAACCCCAAGAAACTCAACTATCCTGAGTTCCCATTCCTTTTCCTGATTTCCATGTATGCAACTGCACATTTGAATGCACAGATACAAGGAAAAATCTCCCATAGTGTAAAAGTAGAGATAGATTGGCTGAACAGATGCAGACACTGTTGCTATATACATGGTTTATATAATGGTTCTGAATTAGTAAGGAAGAATTTTGCCCCTTAAGGAACATTTGGCAATTTCTGGAGACATTATTGGTAGCCACACCTGGGAGGGGATACTAATGACATCTAATGGGTGGTGGCCAGTGAAGTTGTTAAGTTTCCTACAGTGCACAGAACATCCTCCACAACAAAGAAGTATCTGTCTCAAAATGTCAACAGTGCTGAGGTTGGGAAACCCTGATATAAGCAGGTGGGAGTGTGGGAAAATGAAGTCAGAGGAAATAGCATCTGTTTCGTTTTGTAATGTGGACTTGTTCTTCTCGGCTCCTTCTATTTCCTTTTATATGGAAGGAACTGCAAGTGTATAATCCCCTTGGCCTCTCCACTTCCTTACTAATTAGAGATGCTTCTTGACTTACGGAGAGGTTATGTCTCAATAAACCATCTAAATTGAAAAACATTGAAAGTCAAAAATGCTTTTAATCAGGATGTGGTGACTCAGGCCTGCAATCCCAGCATTTTGGGAGTCCGAGGTGGGCGGATCACCTGAGGTCAGGGAGTGTGAGACCAGCCTGATCAACATGGTGAAACTCAGTCTTTACTAAAAATACAAAAATTAGCTGGGCTTGGAGGTGTGCACCTATAATCCCAGCTACTCAGGAGACTGAGGCAGAAGAATCGCTTGAACACAGGAGGTGGAGCTTGCAGTGAGCCGAGATCATGCCACTGCACTCCAGCCTGGGCGACAGAGTAAGACTCTGTCTCAAAAAAAGAAAAAAAAAAAAAAAAGCTTTTAAATAAGCCTAATCTACTGAACATCATAGCTTAGCCTAGCCTGCCTTAAATGCGCTCAGAGCACTTATATCAGCCTGCAATCTTAGGCAAAAATCATCTAATACAAAGCCTATTTCATAAGAAAGTGTTAAATATCTCACATGGTTTATGGAATACGGTACCAAAAGTAAAAAAAATAGAAGAGCTAAATGGGTTCTCAAGGTATGGTTTCTACCGAACATGTATCACATTTGCATCATTGTGAAAGTGGAAAAATCAGAAGTCGAACCATCATAAATCAGGGACTTTCTGTCCTCCCTGGAGTTGGAGAATGACTGTTGAGTTTCTAAGAGGAAGCCGCTTGTGCTCTCTGCCCTGGCCTCTCCTCCTGTGGAAGCCTGTGCTTCTGCTCGGCTCCCTGCCATAAACATAGGGCCCTGCCCTTCTTGGAAAGGCAGGGCTTCAGGGATTCAGGGTTGCTGAGGAAGACTAGAAACTTATAAAAACAGAACAATAGCATTTACTTACATATTTATTTTACTGGCTTCCTTTGCTCAGTATTGTTTGTGAGAATTATTCATGTCGTTGCGTATAGCAATGGTGTGGGCATTTTCATTGTTATATCATTTTCCATTACATGTATGATATAAAATTTATCTGTTCTACTGCTGAAAAACATTTGAATTATTTCTGTTTTTTCTGTCACAAATAATGCTGATATGCACATTGCTCTATAGGGCTCAGGGTACACAATGTGAACATTTTTGTTATTACTTAAGTTGGTGTCTTTAAACTTTAGGCACTAGCCACTTGGGATTTTCTCCTTGTCAGGGAAACACAGCTTATATTGAGATTGTTCAAGGCCTTAGGCAGGAAGGTTTATTGGGCTCTCCTTAAATCAAAACAGTTTTCAAGACCACTAACTCTCTGCCTGTAGATAGGAATGACCTTCAGCCCTGGGTCGAGGAGTAGCCTTTGACAGAATCCTTTAAAACATAAAATGTGCATCTCCTCAGCTGGTTAAATCATTTTCTACTACAGTGGAGCTAAGATTTAGGTAGAACGAAAAATCCAAAAGTCAGATAGATAAATCCCCCTACTCCACCCCACCAGTTCATACTTTGGAGATGAGGCTTGTACCAAAGAAGATAGAAAAGAAGAAACTATATTTATTTGTAAAACATGTGCTGACTATATTGGGGGATTGTGATTAAATGAAGTAAGGCAAATAATAATGTAATTTTTAAAGAAATTAAGAGGAAAAGAGAGAAGAAATAGAACTTCCTTACCATGATGAACCCTATGATGGCTAGGAGTATTAAGAATCAGTTCCAAAGGACCAAGGTTATTGATGACCTGTTTAAAACAGAAGGAATATTTATACATACAGTTATCATTAAATGTGTATTAGTATATAAATGCTCACATTAGAAACTCACATAAATTAAGAGATATTGCAAGTTTCAGGGTTGGTATTAGAGAGTGGAAAAAAGTTCCTCTGAAATCTGGAATTCATATAAAGACAATAGTAATCTCAAAACTCTATTCTGAGAGGCAGCATGGTGAGTATGGTGTCATGGTTAAGAGCTAGACTTTCAGTTCAGCTTCAAGAATCTCCACTTATTACTGTGTGATCCTGGGGAAATGACTGGGTTTTCATATCTCAATTTTCTCATCTTTAAAATGGAAATAGTAACATATCTACATAATAACGTTGTTCCGAAGATTATTAATGTTACTGTATTACATACCACTATCACCAAAGCACAATTCCCTTAGGTTTCATGTTGTGTTACAGTTTTTGCCTTTCAACTATGGCTTTGATTATTTATGAGAGCAGGGCATTACTAGGAGAGTGAAAACACTGTGTTATGTTTCCTGGAGTTACTTCACCCTGTAATCAGCCATGCAGCAACAACTTAATATTGTATCAGTAATCTATTACATTAGGGTGATCTTACTCATTCAAATAGAATACTAAATCATCTCTTACCTTTCAAGGCATCGTCTACCACTACATCTTAGAGGTGCAATTCAAAGTCAAATATGTAAAAGGGCCTTTTTTCACAATTAAAGTTACTTCAGTATCTAGTGCCTTACTTTCTAATTAATTCTCACAACATTTCTTAGTAGGAATCCCCTAGTTCTGAGTCTATAAATTCTAAAAATCGTAGGAACCAGGTAGGTTTCATGAAAAAAGTACAGCAGCCCACATGTAAGACATTTGGTATGTTATATTAATAATATTGAACAACTTGAACATCCACCAACCATGGCAGATACCAAGATATTTTACTTTTCTTTATTCACAATCTAAACTGATTTGTTAGAGCCTACCAATGAGAAAATCAATACATTGTCATGATATTTTAAGACATGACTCACTTTTAGGGTTAGCTTCCATATGCAGGACATATGAGGAATAAAGAAATGAATTAAATGATGCTAAAGGGAAAAATAGTCACTGACAATTATGACGCTGATATGAATTTGATAGTAAGTCAGTGCTGTGGGAAGAAATAGAGAGAGATGGGACTGTTTAAGATGAAAAAATATTTAAGACACATAACTAAATTTAGGGTGTACACCTTGTTTAGATATTGATTTGAACAAACCTAACATAAAAGACATTTTATAGGCAATAAAGAAAAATGTATTATAAACAGGGTGTTACTAATAGATGATAGGAAAAATAATGTTTTCACTGGGAGTTATAAAGGTATTGCCATTGTGTTAGAAGATGTGTTTGTTTAGCGTTGTATAACTGAAATATACATGAGAGGAGAACCAGATTTTGCTATGAAATATTTTGGCAATGAAAAAAGAAAGGAAAAAAAGGATAACTGATGCAAATAAATCAAAATCTTGAGTTTTGAAACAAAATGATGGAGATATATAAATTTATTCTGTTATTCTCTAATTTTATGAATGTTGGAAAAAATTTAAGTTAAAAACTTAAACAGAACAAATTGCTAGTAATGTCCATAAATGCTCACTAAGCTAACTGGAAAAAAATAGATTGCCTAAGTCTCAGACATATTTCTAATTCAAAACTCTTTATCTAGCAGGGTTTAATTATTGTTTGGCAATCTCTGATTAAAACACCCAATTTACAGTTGCTCAATAAATGTGAACAGGTGGGGTGACCATACCATATTCAGCTTGTGGCATCGTGTACCCTCTTGAAATGGAAGCTGTGGCAATGTTGCCACATGTCAAAACTTATCCTTCTCTGGAACAGAGGCCATCGACATCACTCCATTAGGCACATTGTTTACCCACCTGAAAGAGACAGTTCTTGCCTCGCTCCCTGTTGCCCAGCTGCTAAAGGATTTCCAGTTTCCATTACAGAACAGAGAGAAACATTTGCATGCAAAAGAATGTATACTATATTTTATGTGTCAGTTTAGCTCTCCCTCCCTTCCTCCCTCCTCCCTTTTCCTTCCTTCCTTCCTTCCTTCCTTCCTTCCTTCCTTCCTTCCTTCATTCCTTTTTTCTTTTATTCCCATCCCTCTCTCTCTCTCTGTCTTCCTTTTCTCTAAGTCTAAGGTCCTATCCACTATTTTTAAAGTTATTTCCATGAGAGATATATTTTGACCTCCAAACAGCAGAACTTTTGATTAATTCATATGATGGAGCTCATTTATATACCAAAGATTATCTGTGTTTTTAATTTCAGGAGTTTAAACTACCATGAATATATAGTTCTTATAAGAGAATATATTCCAATGAAATAAAGCACAAGAAGCATTATCCCACAAATACACTGTTAATAACCAGGAATTGGGAAGAAGGTACAGATGAATAACCCTGTATTTGATTGGACTGCATTGCTCTCTACTTGGTGAAAAACTATTTGTTAAGAAGAATGGTGAAGAATAGAGAACAAGAAAGTGCGGATCCTCAGCAGTCTGGACATTGAAATCTGATACTTCGATTGGGCTTTGTATCTATGGCAGAGAACCAGATGAGAAAGGATAAAACCATTTTACCCTTGTTTGTCCCTTTGGTGCCTAACATGTGTTACAAAAACAAACAACAAATGTGGGTGGAGAGGACTACACTGACCAGCTTCTGCTCCCCAGATGCATTTCTGATCCTAGGCCCTGGCGTGTGTGCAGCCAGATGTAAAGCCACACAAATGGTGAGTGCATGCAGATGACTGGAGCCTTGGCTGAGTTCACTATTTTTTTTAATGTCAAGCCCTTTTTCGCAGTGAAAATCTTTTGCTCCTGCAGGCTAAAGGATGGTGATATCAATATTGAAAGTTCTTTTTTTAAAAAAATAGTTAAAAGCCAACTACAACACAGTCAACCACAGATAAATTTCCTGGTAGTGCCTATGAGTACCTTGGAGCTGGGGAAGACCACCTCTGAGTGAGAAATGATTCATCATTCCGACAGCCCAGTCAGAGCCTCTCATGTAAAAAACCCTTTCAATTCAAAGTCATGGAGAATTCATTAATATTTAATAAGGGTTGAGCATAACGACTTAATTATCGCCTACTTTTGCAAATTCAGCCATTTGGCAATTCGACGTCTAGCTTTGAATCACTTCCTGAAAATATGTTACTCTGGGAATAATTGTAGCAATTCTCATTTTTAGAAGTTATTTGTTTGTGTTATTTTTTAGACATAGATGCGTTTATTTAAATTATCAAATTTTAGGACATACAGAGGGCTTCAAAATAACATAGTCCAATACTTCATTATTTAAAAAAACCCCATAAAACTGAAGCTCAGAGAGGTTAAACTACTAGTTTAAGTTTAATCAGGTTGGAATAAGCCCTAAACCCTTTCCGATTTCAGCTCATGAATCTTTCTGCTTATCTATCATATTGTTTTTAAGACATACAGCAATTTTCCATTGAATAAAAATACTTTAAACTTTTAGAACTTTAATAGAAAATGATAATTCCTTTTCTATTTCATATTAGTTAAAATGATGCCAGGTATTTATAAAGATCCCAGGGATTTCAGCTTCTAAACGTCCCCATATGGTATTTTAGGGATTTTTGGCTGCTCCTTTGGTCTCTGAAGCAATGCTCTAAATATTGTATTCTGTAACTGGTTTTTTCTTGGTCTTATAACTTGAGAACTATGGATGCCTAGAAGGGCCATGAAGGGTTTCAGAAAGTCAGAAAAATCCTGAAGTTTTAGATGACATTTTATAAATAATTGCCTATGGTATTTTTCTGGGGAGAAATTCTAGCATTTCTATTACTGAAAAGAAAGCATAAGTTCGTAAAGGTTTAAGAGCCAATGTCCTAAACAGAGTTGACAAGGTTATTACCTTTGCCTTTCTTATTATATTGTGTTGTCACTTTACAGATCAGTAAAACCTGAGTGCTATTTTCTCATCCAAACTTCACAGAAACTTAAACATTTTTTTAGCTCATTTCTTAAAATTGTTAAATTTTTCAGACTATTTCTTAAGCTATTTTATTTGTATAGTAACAAATTATAAATATATACATAATACAAATAACAATTTTGTAACAGTAAGCTCCATGATGATTCACTTTCATTCAACAAAAATGCTCTGGACAATTTGTTGGAATGATCACAAACTTCTCATTTCTTCCTCTCCAATCTCTGGTGGAAGTGGGAAAGAAGAGTTAAATATAAAAGCAAGAGAAGAGGGAGCCATGAGACCGTTGTTATCTCATTATGTCATTTCCCCTGACCAAAAATAAAACGAAGCCAAATAAAAAGACTCCTTGTAATGAACCAAACATTGTCCAAACTTTTTAGAGTTCAAAGCCATTCACATTCTTTCTGGAGAGTGATTTCTAATGTTCTCTTTCTTCTCCGTCTATGACATTAACCTCCTAAAAGCTTCTGGAATCCTGCTTTTTCTCCAAGATCAATTCTCCAAGCACCCTTCTTGATTTTTCCAAGGAGAGTTTTGTTTTCCTTTCTCTGGATGCATGTTGAGAGATCGTTAATTCTCATGTCTTCCAGTTCTGTGTGCTAGTTACTTGTTTTCATTTCTCATACTATATTGCAAGTTTCATGAGGATGAAAATTGTGCCTTACCATTCTCTGTGTTTCTCAGGTCACATACAACATTGGTTACGCATCGTGATTGTTTGACAATAGTATATCAACAGATAAATCCCTCTTACTCCTCTCACACTCTTATTTCTTTATAGCGGTGGTTCTCAAATTGGGGTGATTATCATCCCCAGGCAATTTTGGCAATGTTTGGAGATAATTTTAGTTGTCACAACTGGGAAAAGTGCTACTGGCATCTAGTGAGCAGTGGTTGGTTTAGTGCTGTTAAATATTCCACAAGGAATAGGACAAGTCCCCACAATAAGAATTATCTGGTACAAAACATCACTAGTGCTCAAG